TCTTCTCCGTCCTCTGACTTTCCACCACTGTCGTTGTCCTTATCCCTCCTTCCCTTTTCCTCTCTGCCTCCTTCTCCACTTGTCTCCTCCACAGGCGGTTGTCCAAGGGAATCACAAACTCCAATAACTCTTTCACAGTCCCAAACGATCTTCCGTGTCTTGCAATTTCATCTAGAAGGTGCGATTTTAGCCCTTTCTTGGCTCGGTCAACTAGGTTTCCATCATCAGACCACTTAAGAATCGCAACATGTCGCTGGAAGGCGGAGAAGTAGTCCGAAGCAGACCCGGTTTGCTTGAGGTCGTTAAGTTGTCGGGCCGCAGTTCCTTCTTCGTCTGGATCACCAAAGTTAGTCTTGAGGTACTTAATGAACTGATCGTGTGTCGTGAGGTACTCAGGAAGAGGTCTTTTGGATAGATCGGGCTGCACTGCAAGAAGAGGTGTTTCGCGTAGATGAGAGATCATGAAAAAGACTTTCTTAGTGTCGTCGGGGAAAAGATGAGAGTTCAATTCGAAATGTACGTCGCACTCAGACAGAAAGGCGGTTAACTTGTTCCGATCTCCTCTCCAGAGGTCTGGGTTAGGTAGCTTTATCCCCTTCCGTTGTTCGCCCACTACGCTTGGGGTCGCCGAAGTTTGCCGTCCCATGGCGTACCTCACTCCTTCTGATATCCCTTCTGCAATCCCGCCCACTGTATCCCTTTCTCTTCTCTGTTCCCATTCCTCCCTACGCCTTCTCTCCTCCATCATGTCTTTGTTCATATTCGCCACCATCTGCATCAAGGCCAACACCACCCCTTGTGTTCCTTCTTCTCCCAAGTTCGCCGTACTTCCAGTGTTTTCTCTTGGGCGTGGGGTTTGGTCTGATCCAAGTGGGGATCCCGCAGGTGGGAGAGCATTAGACGGAGGAGAGGGAGGGTTAGAAGGCACCGGTGGAACGAACTCATCTCCTTGAATTGACCCCCCCACACTATCCTCCACTCCAAGGTCCTGCCCCATTGCTCTGCTAAGCTCCTCCAATGCTCTCCTCTCGTTCTCCTCCATCCTGTCTCCATCCCTACTCATCCCTCGTGTAATTCTTCTTTCTGGTTCCATATTATCTTTGTACTTCTCCGAGGTTCGCACGGGTCGTCGGTAAGAGCGATCCTTGATACTGTCACGGCCCTCGGACAACTATTTCTTAATAGACCGACGGTCGACGAACCTCGGCTAACTTCACGCTCTGAGTCGATGTCTCACCCAACCAGGAGGGCGCAGACGTCGAAAAGGGTGTAACTACGGCGTACTTCGGCGTAGTTACTCTAACTAGGGTTTTGTTCTACTGATGGCGATGTATCTTGATTTATAGCTATCTCTATCGGTCTTTCACTACTGACAACAATCAAGGATCGCTGAAGAACTTCAGCGATCTTCTCAGCTAATATTATCTACTCCTCCTAGACGTTCATCCAACCCTCTCGCGCTTTGACGTACTTCAACGCACTTCGTCCAACTTCCCCGAACCCTCGGCCATCCTCTTCCTCCTTCGACTAACTCCGCCTAACATCGCCGCACTTCTGCTCCCATTGTCCCTACTTAGCCTAACTGTCACGGCCGTCGAGCAACTTCTTCCTTGTAGACCGACGGTCGACGAACCTCGGCTAACTTCACACTTCTGAGTCGATGTCTCACCCAACCAGGAGGGCGCAGACGTCGAAAGGAGTGTAACTACGGCGTACTTCGGCGTAGTTACTCTAACTAAGGCTTTGTTCTATTGATGGCGATGTATCTCGATGTATAGCTATCTCTATTTGTCTTTTACTACTGACAACAATCAAGGATCGCTGAAGAACTTCAGCGATCTTCTCAGCTAATATTATCTACTCCTCCTAGACGTTCATCCAACCCTCTCGCGCTTTGACGTACTTCAACGCACTTCGTCCAACTTCCCCGAGCCCTCGGCCATCCTCTTCCTCCTTCGACTAACTCCGCCTAACATCGCCGCACTTCTGCTCCCATTGTCCCTACTTAGCCTAACTCCGCCTAACATCGCCGCACTTCTGCTCCCATTGTCCCTAATTAGCCTAACCCCGCCTAACATCGCCGCACTTCTGCTCCCATTGTCCCTACTTAGCCTAACCCCGTCTAACTTCGCCGTACTTCTGCTCCCATTGTCCCTACTTAGCCTAACTCCGTCTAACTTCGCCGTACTTGGTGTCAGAAGTCCTGAGTTACGTGTAGAGTAAAGAGGTTAAGGCGTGATGGGGTTTTGATGGCCAAAGGAGGGTCATTGTTGGTGGAGTAATCGAGGTGTTACGACGTAGTTCGTGACAGTCGCCCCCTTCTTTAGCCGCGAACGTCCTCGTGAGCGATTACACCTCTGTCGTGGCAAGAGAACTTAGCAGCGTAGTACCCCATTCTCTCCCTCCCCATGACCATCCTCCACTCTTCTGCTCTTTGCGCCGCACTTCGTAGTTGGGCCTCCTTTCACTCCAGAACCCGACAATGAGACTCCCCTAACTTCGTCGAGGTTTGCCGTAAGAAGCCCTGTGTCTTTTGTAGGTGAGACACGCTTCCTGAATGGCAGCCGAACAACACCGTTGTTTGTCGAAGTAACCCTCGTTTATATTGAGATGAGACACTATAGCGTGGGAATTTTGATCGTCCCTGCGATGCCTTTTGTTGATGAAACGCGAAGGATGCCGCATGTTGACGACGACGGGTAACTCGAGTTATACTAAGTACTGAGCAGTTCATCGTCCTTCTCTCTCTTCCCCATCTGTTTTCAAAACTTTTCTATCTCTCGCGCCTAGAAAACAGATTTGTTACCT